CGGGGCAACCATCGGGACAACCATCGGGACATCCATCGGGGCAACCATCGGGACAACCATCGGGGCAACAACCATCGGGACAACCATCGGGACAACCATCGGGACAACCATCGGGACAACCATCGGGACAACCATCGGGACAACCATCGGGGGGGACAACCATCGGGACAACCATCGGGACAACCATCGGGACAACCATCGGGACAACCATCGGGGACAACCATCGGGACAACCATCGGGACAACCATCGGGACAACCCGGGACAACCGGGATCGGGACAACCATCGGGACAACCATCGGGACAACCATCGGGACAACCATCGGGACAACCATCGGGACAACCATCGGGACAACCATCGGGACAACCATCGGGACAACCATCGGGACAACCATCGGGACAACCATCGGGACAGGGTCGGGACCATCGGGACATTCGGGACAACCATCGGGACAAACATGGGACAACCATCGGGAACATCGGGGGACAACCATCGTCGGGACAACCATCGGGACAACCATCGGGACAACAACCATCGGGGCAACCATCGGGACAACCATCGGGACAACCATCGGGGCAACCGTCGGGACAACCATCGGGACAACCATCGGGACAACCATCGGGACAACCATCGGGACAACCATCGGGACCATCGGGACAACCATCGGGACAACCTTCGGGACAACCATTTGGACAACAATCGGGGCAACCATCGGGACAACCATCGGGACAACAACCGGGACAACCATCGGGACATCCATCGGGGCAACCATCGGGACAACCATCGGGGCAACCGTCGGGACAACCATCGGGACAACCATCGGGACAACCATCGGGACAACCATCGGGACAACCATCGGGACAACCATCGGGACAACCATCGGGACAAACATTTGGACAACAATCGGGGCAACCATCGGGACAACCATCGGGACAACAACCGGGACAACCATCGGGACATCCATCGGGGCAACCATCGGGACAACCATCGGGGCAACCGCCGGGACAACCATCGGGACAACCATCGGGACAACCATCGGGACAACCATCGGGACAACCATCGGGAGAACCATCGGGACAACCATCGGACAACCTTCGGGACAACCATCGTAGCAACCATCGGGAGAACCAGCGGGACAACCATCGAGACAACCATCGGGGCAACCATCGGGGGTCGCGCCCGGGGCGGTGGGGGGGGGCGACCCTTGAAGCTCCATGTGACCTCGACCAGTGCAGGACCTCGCGCAGCTTCGTTTCGCACGCACGACACGCACCGAAACCGATTCCCCGGTTGGGGTCACTTCCGCTCACACCCCCCAATGTCCGATACCACAAGATGGGTATACTACATGTTCGGGTCGGACGCGTGCTTCCTAGGAGGACATCTAGTTTAGTATGTCTCCGTGCGTCCCCAAGTGACGGCGTGACTTCCCCGTGCGTGGCTCGACTCGCGTCCCGCCGCCGAATCGGCTGTCGCTTCGCTCGTTGTGCCTCTTGTCCCGCCAGGGCCACGAGTAGGGGGAGGAGGGGCAGGGGGAGGCGGAGGGGGAGGGGGAGGGCTGGCCAGTGATGGTCGAGTGATTTTGCTCAAGTTTGCGTTGCAGCCCGCTTCCCCCGTCTGGAGTCGGCAGGGCGACATCTCGAGGAACTGCCGACGGTGTGGGTTGCAGAAGGAAAAAAAACCATGCAAACACAATCGTTTAGCGCTCCGCGCAGATTCCTCGGATCCGCGCCGAGCCCCCCGGCGGCGCCTCCGGCTCTGCCCCTGGCGCGCTCCGCCCGCCAGGGAGGGGAGTCCAGCGCGGATCCAGGAAATCCGCGCGCAGCGCCAAAAGTCTGCGTTCATGGCGTTTTTTTTGTCTTCGTCCATATCGCCAGGCTCGCAGCTTGGGATCCCCACGAGCCGAGACTGGGTGTTGAGGCCGATGGCAGGTGGGTGCTCGAATGCGGCTCGGGTGGCTACACGGGCGCCAGGCCGAGGCCTTCTCTTTCCCGCCTCCACCACCCCTTCGTCTTCGCCCTCTTCGCCCTTCCACCACCACCACTCGCAGTCCACATGGCGCTGCAATTCCCAGGGATGCTTGATGGGAAGGCATTTGTCAGAGTTGGGAACAGCATGTCGATCCTTGGCGACATCGGCGTCTGAGGTTCCCTCTCATTTCCGCTTGCCCGACGGGACGACCAGCCGTCAGATCGGGAGTTGGTCCGGCGCGCCGAGGCATCGTACAGCGCCTGCGGCGACTACGGCGCGAGCTTGCGGGGTGGGATGCAGAGTAATTGAGTTGCTCCGGATTTTTGTTCAGCCCCTGAGACGGGGGCTGCGTGTAGACATGCGGATTTGCAACGCATTTTTGTGATCTGCCGACGCGTTCCTCATGGGGGCGTTCTGCCAGGGGAGCACTTGAGACAGGGCGTCCTGACAGCTCGGAAGCCACTCTGAAATGTTTCAAAACCACAGGACAATCAATTATTGTCATTATGTGGGCTCTCCTGGAGGGCCTCCTCCTCGGGTGCGCACTATTGTGGAGCCGTCTTCAGGGCATCTTGCGCCGTCTTGAAGCCATCTTGGGCCGTCTTGAGGCGATGCTAGGCCGTCCTGGGGCCATCTTGAGCTGTCTGGAGGGCCCAAGAAGGCCCCAGGGAGCCAGCGTGGTTGGCCGAGAGGATGGCTGATACGGTAGATGCGCGTCGTGTCGATCGGTGGCGACCCCGCCGCTGGCGTTCAACGCTGAACACCGCCGGCGTCCCAGAATCGGTCTATGCTGAACGATCCGACGTTTCGGAAACGGCCCATCGTTCAAGGCTGAACGATCCCCGCGGTGTGAGAATGCACACCGAAGTCGGCATGACACGAACCTGCCGTACAGATACGTGAGCTCGCAGTGCGGTTATGATGTTCCAACCTACTTTTATGTCGGGCGTGTCCCCTTACATGGGGGATTTTCGACGAAAAATAAAAAATATTCCAAAAGTACCCCACAAATGTCAAAAAATACTCAAACAATAGTCCCCAGACTACTTTTGGTTTATGTATTGAATATTTGTGGGGTACTTTTTATTCTTCGTCGAAAATCCCCCTGTAGGGGGACAGGCCCGACATAAACCTACTTTAGCCTTGATCGCCAGAAATAACTGCGAGCGCCAAACAAATGTACCGAACTGGGAGGGTTTTCACGCGTCGGCCCTCGAAGCAGGTACTCGTTCGACACCTCGCTAGCACGCCGCGTAGACACTGTTTCGATACTTCTCTGGGTGCTCGAAATTATTTCTGGGATGTGGCCATTAAGTGCGATGAGGACAACATACGCAGTGAAGCTCAGGCAACGCCAGTGGGAGTAGGAATCGGTTGCTCCACATTTCGTAAGAGGAGGGAGGCGGTCACAATCCTCCCAGGCGAGCAGTTTTAGACCCCCCCAGACCAACCATGAAAGGGCGGCATTTTTGCCCAGACCCCGCGAACCCCCCAAGACAGCTCGCATCAGACCCCCAGAAAATAATCGGACCACCCCCCTTTGTATTAGAAACTTCGGAGTAGCGGGGAGGGGGGGAAGCCATGGTGGGGGTCATAATATCTGCCAGGATGTCATGGCCCCCGGGCCTTATTCCAATGCGTCCCTTGGGCCCCCCTGGGCCAGGCACGTGCCTCGGGCCATGATGTGCGAACCCCTCCCTCTGGGAGGACCCCCTCTTTGACCGCCCCCGAGAGTTGTAGGCTGGCCTGGCTCCTCCTCCTCCTCCTCCTCCTCCTCCTCCTCCTCTTTCTTCTGAATCGACTGTATGAGCACCAGTTTTCGGCCAGGGGCAGATGCAGACGGGACAAGAGAAGAGTCAGGCAGACACGGTTGCTCGGTGTAAAGAGTTTGGAGTCTCAAAATTCTCTGGTGGAGCGCCATCTGAGCGCATCAGTTGCGCGACGGACTTCTGGTCGGTCGGTCCAGGAGCGCTCCGCGCTTTATTTTTGTTGGGGTGGCGCGCGAGATGCGCCGCGGACGCTCTTGCCGCCGTGCAGATCAAGGGAGTTGCACGGAACAGCGCGGCCCCTCCAGGACTTTGCGCTTCGGGGTGCATTCGGCACCGGGGCTCGCTGGCACGTCGGGCCAAGGCTGCTTCCCTCAAAGTTTGCTTTCCGGCTGCGCACCAGAAACAAGGCAGTGTTGCAAGTCTTGGTGCCTGGGACACTTGGCGCGTTCTGTGCGCGCAGGGCGGCCTTGCCGATGTTCGTACTGGACCCCGTCCTTGAGAGTGGTTTTGGCTGTAGGGCTGATTCTGACGGCAGAGATGGTGACGACAACGAAGCCGACTATGTTTCGGAGGGAACCCAACAATACACCACCGTCAGCCCTGGCCATGTCCATCCTGGGCCTTGGACTGCTGTACAGACCTCCCGGCCTAGGCCAGGAGGGCCTGTACTCCAGCCCAGGGCTCAGGATGGGCCTGGCCAGGGCTGGTGGTGGCGTTTTGTTTGGACCGAGTCCTGGTCCACGATCCCCGGTGCAGAGTTCGCCCGCATGCTGCGTCCTTGTTTGTTTCGGGAGCGGCCAAGAGGGGGGTGATGGCTACTCCACATTTCGCAATAGAAGAGAGGGGGTCACAACCCTCCCAGGCGAGCAGTTTTAGACCCCCCCAGACCAGCAATGAGGGGGCGTCCTTTTGTCCAGAACCCGCAGAACCCTCCAAGACAGCTCGCATCAGACCCCAAAAATCAGACCCCCCTTTTTTCTGATGAAGTTCGGAGTAGCGGGGCGGGGGGGGGGGGGGGCGGGAGTCATGGCGGGGGTCATGCTATCTGCCAGGATCTCATGGCCCCTTGGGCTTTATTTCGGTGCGTCCCCCGGGGCCCCCCTGGGCCAGGCACGTGCCTCGGGCCATGATGTGCGAACCCCTCCCTCTGGGACGCCCCCCTCTTTGGCCGCCCCCGAGTGTTGCAGGCGGGCCTGGGCAGGGCCTCTTCATTCGAAGAGTCTCGGCCAGGCGGGCTCGTGTGTGTGCGCTTTTGTCCCGCGGGGGTGGGAATCTGGTTGACAGCCATCGGGCTCGCCTTGGCCCGTTCACCGCCGAAGATCCCAGCAAACCATCTCGAGAAGGTCTTGCGCACGAGCCTGAAGCGGCCAACGCTTCTCCCCGAACATCCTCTACTGTTGGGTCCCCCTTTTGAATCCGCAGCGACCCGCGTGTAATCTCCTCCCGCTGCCGCCTCCCCCTCCATCGTCCCTACCTCTGTCCTCCGCGTCATCGTAATCCACAGCAGCACCACCACTACCATCGCTACCGTCATCATGATCATCACCATCATAACCAACAGCAGCAACAGCAACAACCATCATTTCAAGACGGTTCGCTCTTACCGGCACGCGTGTCTTGCATACCGTATACCCCAACCCTCGATACCCGCCCCTTTCGTCTTCGATTGCACCCCCTTTTGGGAGGAATATTTTCCTTGTCGGCCACTGACAGAAGTGCGAAGAAGTCTCGAGCGAGAGCGCCGTTCCTAAGTTTTGGGGCCTCTCTCGCCAAGAGCTTTCAGAATACCTATGGAGAAATATCGAACGGGAGCCCTTGTCGCCGTGTCCAGGCCTCCACCAACTTGCTTGAATTACGGGAAAGTCTCGAGCGAGAGCGCAGTCCCTAAGTTCGGCGGCCTTCTTGGCCAGAGGCGATCGGAGTATTTCGTGAGGAAGTAGCGAGCAGGAGCCCTTGTCGTCGTGGCTGGGCCTCCACCAACTTAATTGAATTCCGAGGAGGTCTCGAGCGAGAGCGCCGTTCCTGAGTTCGGGGGCCTCTCGGCCAGGGTGTCTCGGGGTAAATTGTGAGGAAGTGTCGAGCGGGAGCCGTTGTTGTCGTAGCTGGGCCTCCAAAGGCCCACATTTAGGGTCAAGGCAACGCTCGAGCGGGAGCCTCGCTTTCAGCGAAAATGTAGCCGGCGTCGAGGCGAGAGCGCGCGGAACCGTTTCCGCAGATCAACAATAGTTATTCTTTAGAAATGAGTATTCAACAGCATCAACATCAACATTTGCCTGAGCATCATCTTCCCAACCCTCTTGTGTCAGACCCTTTACACGGTTCGTGGCCCCGTAGGGAGCATTACCGAAGGCTCCAGTGGCAAAATTCGCATTCGGTCCCGCGCATTTTGGCGCACCCTTCACACGCGTCGTGACCCAACAGGAAACCCCACCCAAGGCCACAGTGTCGGGGTCCGCGTGCGGTTCCGCGTCCATTTCGATACCTATACGACCACCCTTCGGGTGATAAGGAGGTTGTGGGGGGGGGGAGGGGGGGGGACCAACATCTGACTCAATCGATCTCACTATCGATCTCACTCAACGGGACACCACGGGACACTTGTCGATCTCACGACCGATCTCACGATCGATCTCATTCAACGGGCCACCACGGGGCACCACAGGACACCGCGGGACACCTCTCGATCTCACAATCGGTCTCACTATCGATCTCACTATCGATCTCACTCAACGTGACACCATAGGACACCACGGGACACCTCGGGACACCACATCGATCTCACTATCGATCTCATTATCGACCTCACTCAACGGGACACCACGGGGCACCACGGGGCACCACGGGACACTTGTCGATCTCATTACCGATCTCATTTTTTGGGACACCACGGGACACCTCGGGGCACCACGTCGTTCTCAGTATCGATCTCACTATCGATCTCACTATCAACCTCACTCAACGGGACACCACGGGACACCTGTCGATCTCACCATCGATCTCTTTTTTGGGGACACCACGGGACACCTCGGGGCACCACATCGATCTCAGTATCGATCTCACTAACCGAATGAAGCTATTTAGGAACCCCCCCGGGGTTATCATTAGCACTGCACCGTAATTACATAATTCTGGGGGGGCGGTTTTCGACAAGTAGTTAGCACCGCGCAAATGATCGACAAGAAAACATTCCCGCACCCCGGCTCAGGAGATATCCCAATTGGAATTGGATTGATAATAAGAATAATAAGGCAATGCGAGCAATAACAATAATACTGAGAATGCGAATCAGAAGAACTAATATGAAACATACCAAGAATAAGGACAAGAGTAAGGGTGTCAACAATAATAAGAGTAATAATAAGAGTCAGAATGCGAACAATAATAAGAATAATAACCATGATCCGAAAAAGAATACTGACAATAATGATAGTAGTCGCACTAAGAATAAAGATAATAATAATAATACTTATCATACCCGGAATAATAACAAGGATTTTTTATCATTATCTTCTTCACCATCCTTGTCCTACACGATTTGTAGTACCACCCCTGTTGAGAAATTGGTTTTCCCGGCCGTCGTGTGGGGTCGTGAATCCGACGATATCGCCCCCGCCACGCACGGCGCGTTATCTTAGCACCGCACCCGCACAAAATAATTACGACAGCTGGTCAAAAACAACAAGAAGTACAATACGACCAATAACCAGAATAATGATACAGCTAAGACTGTGACTAAGAATGATAACAAGAATAAGAAGAAGATGAACACTAATATCAGTAATGATAAGAGCGAACATAAATAACATAATAATACCAACGATAAGAGTAAGAGTAAATTAATGACAAGGGCGATCATACAATTAATAATGATCATACGAAAAAGCATAATCATAATTCGGATACGGGTAACAAAAAAGCAGAATACTCAGAGTAAGACTACGAATAAGAAAAATACAACATAGTAATAATAATAATAATGCAAACAATGGTAATAGTAAGAGTATGAATCATACCAATAAGAGTAATACTAAGAGTAAGAAAAAAAAACAATACTAATAATAATCATAATCCGGATAATAATACTGATAAGAATAAGAATCGTCATCCGACTTAGAAAAATAACACTAATGATAATACTCACACTTAGGGTAATAGTAATCATAGGAATACGAGCAATACCAATAATCACAATTTAGATAGGAATGCGGAAAAGAGCTTGGTCTCATTATCTCCATAAGTCTTGTCCTATACGATTTGTAGTACCACCACTGTTGAAACACAGGTTTTCCCCGGCCGTCGTACCCGCACCGCCAAAATGATTCGCCCCCAATCGTAGGCACGGACGGTTCCTTTTCACAGTCGGGCTCTCCCTTGCGTGGGACTTAATGTTATTATTGTTGGTGTTGTTGGTGTTTTTGATGTTGTTGTTGTTGTTGGTGTTGTTATTGGTTTTGTTGTTCTAGATATATGTCTTATTGTTGGCATTATTGTCGTTGTTCGTGTTGGTGCCGTGCCGTAACGGAGTCTTGAGGAGGAGGATGAGGATATTTTCTTGTTTAGTTGGGCCAAGGCCTCTTGATTGAGGTCTTGGTCTTCGGCTTGATCCGTAATGGCGAATAAGAGCCAACATATTGCGAGAATGTCTCAGGCGGTGTGCTTGTTTCGGCGAGCAGACTCGTCTGGTGTTCACATAAAGGTGCGAGATGCCAGGTTAGCGTTTCTGGGGTGCCGGATGCGTTATACTTTCGCCGGGGAGGGGGGGGCTCTTAATTGTTTCTCTGGGTTATCGATCTCACTATCGATCTCACTCAACGGGACATCACGGGACACCCTTGGACACCACGGGACACCCCGGGACACCGCGAGCCTCCGCCGGACGGGCGGGAGGGGGAGAATCACTTGTTTTGACTTCGCCCTAACAACGACGGACACCACGGGACACCACGGGACACCGCGGGACACCGCGAGCCACCGCCGGACGGGCGGGCGGGCGGGGGAGAATCACTTGTCTTGACTTCGCCCTAGCAACGGCGGGTTCATTCCTCTCGCGCGCCCACGCAGCTTCGCCTCGCCCGCACGCACGACACGACCGAAACGAAACGATTTCCCGGTTGAGGGTGCCTGTTCCATTTTCAACGGCACCGCAACGGGTACTTACTAACGGGTACTTTGCAATTTTGCCGAAAGTTGCCACTTTAAAGCCTCTTTCTGGCAATGCAGCGTTGCCCGCATCGGGAAGGGTTTGGTTCGCTGGGTCACTGGCCAAAGTACCCGTTAGTGGAGTCCCCGTTTGAGGGACGCTGACATTTCGATCTCACCCCCCAACTTCCGATACTCCTCACATGTTCCGTGGCCCCACAGGGAGCTCCACCGGTGGCCCTGGTGGCAGGATTCGCATGCGGTTCCGCACCCAGTTCGGCGCGCCCCACAGGGGGCTCCGCCCAAGGCCCCGGCAAGAGGGTGCGCATGCGAGTCCGCGACAATTTCGGCACGCGCCTCACGCGTTTCGGTGCCCCTCTGGGAGTTCCACCGAATGCCACAGGCGCAAGGTCCGCATAGCGGCCCAGCCCCATTTCGGCACACCCATTCATGCGCTTCGTGGTACCATGAGGAGCTTCACCGACGGCCCAAGTGGCAACGAGCGCATGGCTCGAGCTGCATCCTTCTGTGGCACGTTGCCTTTCACACCAGAATAGGCCATATCGCGTAGCTGCACATGTTTGGGTCCTTCGCGAGGCTGATTTGTTTACCGAGACGAACGCGTTGAAGGGGTCATTGTCCGGATGAGTCTGTTTGGAGAGGCCCCAGGGGGGGGGAGAAAACTTGAAGCACAGGCCACGCGCAGTCCGAGGGAGGGAGGCAGGGATCAGGAGGGGAAAAAATACACAGACACAATTAATCGGCGATTCCCAGAAAATATTGGAAAAGATGGGAAGTGGGGGGAAGACAAAAACCAAGAAAATATGGGAACATATAGGGGATATGTTTATTTGTGTGTATTTATTTGTGTGTCCCAGTTCCCCTTCAAGGGAGGCAGGCTGTGGGAGGCAGGAAGATGAAATTGGCAGAGCGCGTTGAGTAAGAGCTGGGTCTGGCGAACGATTGTAGTTTGCGCTGACCCCATTGGGCCTCTCAGGGTCAGCTCTGGCTCGTTCTTCTCCGCTATCCAGCTGCGTACGGCAAGCCCCGCCACCGTGCCTGGGTCGCGAGTGTGAAGCTTATTGGATGTTCGTTGGGATCTCGTGGGAGGCCTCTCGGGGGCAACTCGAAGGCAGTTTGGCGGCCTCATGGGGGCCAGTTTGAGGCTTCTTGGGGCCTTTGGGGGGCCTGTTGGGGGCATCTTGGAGCGCCTCTTCGGGCGCCTCTTGGGGCGCCTCTTGGAGCCTCCTGGGGGCCTCTTGGAGCTAAAGGCTTGGATTGTCGGTTCGTGTTCCATCTTGGGGCCTTTTTGGTGCTGTTTTGGGGCCTTCTTGGGCCGTCTGAAGCGCCTTCTGGGCTGTCTTTGGGCGCTCTTAGGCCGTCTTGGGGCCCTCTTGGAGGCCTTTTGGGCCTCATTGGGGTGGTCTTGGGGGCTTCTTGGACCGTCTTGGAGCGTCGGAAAGCCGAAAAAGCGAGAACGCCAACATCTTTCAAAAACCTATCGGGAACCTGATCGGACACGAACGGGAAGCGACGATGTTGTCCACTGCGTCCGTATGGGGGCAAGACGAAAAGGGCAATGGCGACAACAAGGCGACGGATGTCAAGGATGACAGCGTGGGTGGCGGGGAGGGCCGCGATGAGGGCAGAAGGACAACGAGTGGGAAGACAAGCGCGAGGACGAGGAACATACGGTGGAGGACGAGTGCGAGGAGCCGTGAACCGGGGAACCCGGCCGCCCACCGAAATTTGCCAAGAATTTTCGTCAAATCTTGCAACATCCGCTAGGACCCCTGCAGTGCAAAGTGCAACCGTTGATTGGGGAATAATGCGTTGTGACACCGCGCAGTTTCCTCATCGCCCGCGCGCACGTACGCGCGCGTGGGCACAGCGCAGTATCTCACGTTGAGGCCCACAGGAAAATAATGAAACCATTAGTTTTCGCCATTCAGTTTTCGAAGTCAAGATGGCTATTTCAAATGGTATAACCATGCTCACGCGAAAGCGCGCGCAATAAGGGGCGCGTTGTGCGTCACAACATCTGTTTTTCCCCCAGCCATCCTGTGGTGTTGTGCCCCCGTTTTGAGAGACAGTACCCTGCGTTCCTCCCCGCTGCTCCTCCCCCTCATCCCTCCTCCCATCCTGTGCACCCCCCACGCGTTTCGTGGCCCCATAGGGAGTTCCACCGAATGCCCGAGCGGCAGGGTTCGCACGCGGTTTGGCCCAAATTTCGGCACACTCATCACAGGCTTCGTGGCTTCATTAGGAGCCCCACCAAAGGCCCCAGTTGCAGGGTTCCCATGCGGTCCCACCCAATTTTCGACACACCCCTCACGCGCTTCGTGGCCCCAAAGAGAGCTCCACCGAAGGCCCCAGTTGCAGGCTTTGCATACGTCTCCACCCATTGTCGCACACACTGTCGGCACACCCCTCACGTTTCAATGGTTCATAGAGGTCTCCACCGAAGGCCCTAGTGGCAGGGGTTCCACTGCCATTTCGGCACACCCTTCAAACGCTCCGTGGCCCCATAGAGGGTTCCACCTGGGGCCCCAATGGCAGGGTTAGCATGCGGTTCCATTCTCACGCCGGCGCATCTTTCACACGTTTCGTTGCTCCATAAGGAATTTCACCGAAGACGGTATTCACAATTGCGGCGCTGACAACTGCGCTTGGTCGTGCCCTCTGCCAGGTTTGTTTCATGACGCAGCCGTCAGAAGACGAGTAAAACACATCGTGTTCACCAGTCAGTTCCCCCCGATAAGTTGGCAAGTCACGATTGTGTGTTGCGCTGCGCACGCAAGCGCGATAAGAAACAGCGCTCAGTGTGTCACAATACTTACATCACGCCATACTGTGGCGCAGCGCGCGCTATCATGCTACGCGGTCGAGCTCTTTGTCGCCACAGGGACTCGGTCCTCCCAGATTAGTCAACACTTGGCGTTCGCGCAATCAGCTCACCCCGCAAGCGTTTCAATACTGCGCTTACTGGAGATGCCAAATCGGTAGAATTCTTTACGCTTCGCGTATCCCCACCAGCCCATCTCACAGCAGCAACTCTTGCGAAGCATGCCGACAGTCGTGTTTTTCAGGCGTGTGTCCGCTTGGGCCCGCATATCTCCCCTGTTCCTCCTTCCTCCCGCCTCCTTGTACATCCTCCTTGTGGGGGGAGCGGGAGAAGGACGAGGCGGAGGAGGAGGGAGAGAAAGCGCTCCTCGCTTCCTGGTGTGAGTCGTTCGGGCTCTTCGTGGTGTGAGTCGTTCGGGCTCTTCGTCCTGGTGTGAGTCGTTCGGGCTTCTCGTGGTGTGAGTTGTTCGGGCCCCTCATCCTGGTGTGAGTCGTTCGGGCCCCTCCTCCTGGTGTGACTCGTTCGGGCTCCTCGTGGTGTGAGTCGTTCGGGGCCCGCGTCATGGTGTGAGTCGTTCGGGCTCCTCGTGGTATGAGTCGTTCGGGCGCCTCCTCCTGGTGTGAGTCGTTCGGGCTCCTCGTGGTGTGAGTCGGTCGGGCGCTTCGTCCTGGTATGAGTCGTTCGGGCCTCTCCTTGTGGTGTGAGTCGTTCGGGCTCTTCGTGGTGTGAGTCGTTCGGGCCCCTCGTCCTGGTGTGAGTCGTTCGGGCTCCTCCTGGGGCCTCTTGGGAGCCTCTTGGAGGCCTCTTGGGGCCTCTTTGGGGGCCTCTTGGGGGCCTCTTGGGGGCCTCTTGGGAGCCTCTTGGGGGTTCTGGGGGCCTCGTGGGGGGCCTCTTGGGGGCATGTTGGGAGCCTCTGGGGGCCTCTTGGGGGCCTCTTGGTGGCCTCTTGGGGGCCTCTTGGGAGCCTCCTGGGGGCATCTTGGGGCCTCTTGGGGGCCTCGTGCGACCTCCTCAGAAGCGCAAATGAGCGCTACCCCCTGAGAAGGACAAAATGAGCTCAAAACCCTAGTAAAATTAATGATTTTGCTAGGAAGGAAGATGAGCGCGGCCCCCTCGGGAGGCCAAAATGGTGCCAAAACCCTAGTAAAAGCAAGGATTTGGGCTTCACAGAAGAGGAGGGGGCTACAAGAGCGCCCCCCCCGTCGGGGCCAGAATCCTCGTGAGGGTCGTCGTTTTTTGGCCCTCCCAGGCGTCGAAAAAGACCCCTGACCACCCGCGGGACTCCCTGTCCAGGCCCAGGGGGAGGGGGAAGGGGGAGGGGTAAACCCCTCCCCGAAGGGGAAGAAGGGGGCTTGGGGGGTTGAGGACATTGGGGGCTCTGTAAACCACTCACGCCCAAAGGGCTGGTGGGATTCTTCATGTGTCGAGATCATCGACCCCGGCGCATTAGCCCCGAGGAATCCCGGGATGCGGGCGCCAATGTTGCGGTCGGTCCTAGGTTCGGGGGGCCCTGGCGGCCGAGAAGATTCGCTCTCACGAGTGTTGACCAAGAAGAAACGCTTATTCGGGAACCCAAGAGAAATCCCATTATTCGGTGGCGGAAAAGAGGGGGGTGATGACTAGGGGGGGGTGGATATCATGGCGTGGGCCATGATATTTCCCCAGATTTCATGGCGACTCTTCTCATTTCATTACGTCCCTGGCCCCCCCGCTGAGCCGCGCACATGCCGCCGGTCATGATTTGCACCCCCCCCTCTTGGACACCCCCTCTTGGCCGCTCCCGAATTGTACCCAAAAAAATTGCAGGTCGCTGCCCTCGTCAACGATCGAGGCCCCCCGTCACGCCCCCGGCGCCACGTCGGCCCCGAGGAGTCGTAGCAGAGGTGGCCTCGGACACGCAAGCTCTCCGACGTCCCAATGCTCCTGCGCGCCGCCAGGACGTGGCGCCGTTGTCGCGGGCTCCCGCGCCGCCGCGCAGCATCCCGCGATGGCTTCTCGAGGGCCGCGAGAGGATTGAGGACGCGAAGTGGCTACTCCAGATTTCGTAATAAAAGGGAGGGGGTCTCAACCCTCCCAGACGAGAAGTTTTAGACCCCCCCCCTGGGAGAACCCTCCAAAACATCGTCCCCAGACCCCCCCAGGCTCTCCAAGATAGCTTGGAAAAGACCCCCCCTGAAATGAGACCCCCCTCCCTTTATTACGAAATCTGGAGTAGGGGGCGACCTCCCCGCTCGTTGGAGCCGCGCTGAGGAGGCGCCCTCGGCTGCTGGCATCGCGCCGCCCGACGCGACCCCACGGCGCCGCGCAGCCCGCGCGCCCCGGCCCTCCGAGGGGATGACGGGCGCGCTCGCCGCGCGAGGCGCGGAAGTGCATATCCGCCCGCGGGCTCGCTCGTGCCGGAGGAGGCGCCGCTGCCGCTGCCCTCCCATCGTCGGGGGTGGGCAGAACCCCCAACAGTGGCGCGTCGATTAGTGAATTGTCCGTCTTCGGCTCTCGAGGGGGCGCCGCGGCCGACATTTTCCAGGCCTGCGCCCTCCAGGTTTGGGCCCGAGGTCGTTTTCACTGAACCACGTTTTACTAAAGGGAGGTCTGTCCATCCGCGCCCATCGTCGCCACAGCTCGGTTCGCCTCGAACCCCCCCGCTTGAGCGCGCCCCGGGAGAGGGCCGCGGAACGCGGCGGCATCGGCGCAGCTTCTGGGCGGGCCCGGGCGCGGCCCATGGCCGCTCTCGGCGCCTACCGGCAAGATTTTGTCTGCAGCTGAGGCAAGGAGCTCTGTTTGACAGACCAGCGACACACACCCATACCCATAGAGGGGTCGGAGAGGGCTATGGGTGCGTGTTGTCGGATGGGGGTCCCCGCTCGAACGGGAGCGTTCCCCAGGGTCCGACAACCCGCACCCATGCCCATAGCCAGTCCTCCTCCCAACGACCCCCCTATGGGCATGGGTGTGTGTTGCTCGTTCGTCACTTTTGCCGGCGGAACGCGGCCGCGCGGAGGTCAGCGATGCCCGGCCGCGGGCGCCTGACACACTTGCTGCGTCGGTGGGGCGTCGACCAGCTGACCCGCGGCGAGCAGGTTGAGCTCGCGCGCTTCGCCGCGCATCGCTGGGGCCAGAGGCATTTGCCTGGCGCCCCGGGGGCGCCCGAGGCTCTCCGGGCCCGCTTCCCTGGTCGAGCCAGCCCAGGAGCTTAGTTCTGCCGCGCGCATGCTATTCCGCCAGCGTCGAGGCGACGGCGGGAGTTCGACCCTGAGGTGCCAAAAATTACGGCTCACATGGATTACGCTGCGCGAAGCAATTTTCCGAGCGCCAAGATGTCGCGCCAGTTGCGGGGCGCGTGCTGCTACTTGCAATGCACACTGCGCGGTGCGAGCAAGATGCGGTTCTTCTAGTTGAGTCCAGCGGCGCAAGTTAGATGAAGTTGGGCCCCGCTGAGCGAAGTGAAGTAAGCTGAGCGCGTCTCCGCACAGCCTGAGCAATAATTGCCCGGCGCCATGGCCATTGCGGGGAGGAGGAGCCCCCCCGCCACCACCGCCATTGCGCTCGCCATCTCACTGACGCCGAAATGCCCCTCGCTCGCCTATTGCCGAGGATGGGCGGGAAATTCCAGGCCGCGGACGCGGAAGATCGCGGGCGGCGCGGCGGGGGCGATTTGCTCGCGGGCGGGCCTCGCCGGGCCAGCCGTGGAACGTTGAAAACAACGGGAGGGGGGGCATCTTCGAGCATCGGAGGGTCGCGGGGGAGGAATGCAGGGGAGCGCGGCTAGGCCCCTCGCAGATGCGCTGAGAGACACGGCTCTGAAGCCCATGCAAGTGGGCCAGGGCAACCCCGCCAGCGCATCCACGGGCGACGCTCGGGCGAGCTGCCCCGATAGAAGGGCGCGGCCTGAAGGCTCCCCCGCCGCCTTCTCCCGGCGAGGTTCTGGTTCGAGTGCTTCTCAGCGGAAGCGATCTCAGACCCCCGAGTCCTCGGCGCGACTCAGCGACCGCCGCCCTCAGCGACCGTGGCGCGCCAGATCTGTTCGATTTCTGGCTCGGTCGCAGGCCGCGCCGCGCTGGCGTTGGAGGGCGACGCGGGGCCGAGGGCGCCGCTCCACGCACATCAGGCCTCGGCACCCCCGGCGCGGCGATGGCCGCGATGGAGGCGGCGGGCGGCGAGCGCCATCCGCATCTTCAGGCTTCCTCCAGGAATCTCGAAGGATTCTTCCAGGATCCTGCAGGAATCTGGGAGGAATCTTCGACGAATCCATCGGGGGGCCCGACGCGCGCTGGTCGCCCCGAAGGGATTCCAGCGACGCGCGCGAGTCGTCCGTTGCGTGGGGGGGAAAATGCTAGCATGCTGGCCGACTGCGGGCAGGGCTCGGGCCGCTGGGCAGAGCGACGGCAGGCGAGCGAGGAGCCGTGCAGAGCTCAGTATGGAGTTCCACGGGCGCGCGCTGGTCGCTCCGAGAAGGCCCGAGCGACGCGCGCGGGTCGTCCGCGGCGCGGGGCCGAGCAATCAGACCGTCGAGAGAAGGCGAGGCTCGGGCGAAATGCCCCCTTAATCAGGCCTCCCGGACAAACCAGTGAAGCCCAGCTGCCCGGCGAGGGCCAGCTGCATCCGCAAGCCTTCCGGCGGCCTTGCCAGGAAGAACTCGGTCTGCGGCGCCCGCGTTAGCGGAGGTCATCGTAGCGCGTGGCGCGCGAGAGCAGCGCGTAGAGCTCCAGCCGCCAGTTGTCGCTCTGCATCTTGCCGTTCCCGACCTCGTGGCGGCCGCCGTCCAGGACCGCGCTTGGGCGACGTCGGCCGAGGGCGCGGCGCGCCGGACAGCCGACGACCCAGGGCGAGAGTCCACAGGGCCAAGAGAAGGCCTGACGGGATTGGCCGCAGAAGCCGCGTGCGAGGTCCGCCGTGGGGACCTTCGGTGGAGCTCCCTATTGGGCCCCGAAGCGCTGTAGTGGGCGCAGGAACCGCATGCGAATTCCGCCACTGGGACCTTCTGTGGAGCTTCCTATGCGGCGACAAAGCGCTGCAGTGGGCGCAGGAGCCGCATGCGAGTTCCGCCAGGGGGACCTTCCGTGGAGCTCCCTATGGGGCCACGAAATACCGCGCTGTGCGCAGGAACCGCATTCGAGTTCCGCTACGGACCTTTGGTGAAGTTCCCTATGGCGCCACGAAGCGCTGCACTGGGCGCAAGAACCAGAACCGTTTGCGAGTTCCGCCGCTTGGACATCCGATGGAGTTCCTTATGGGGCCACGATGCCGCCCTGGGTGGGAGAGGCGCAGGGAGGAAGTAGGAGGAAGAAAGAACGCGGGGCGCTGTCCCTTCAAATCGAGGACCCAACGCCACAATATGGTTGGGCATCTACTCCAAAAGTGATATGGTGAAGGAGAACGACAGAGAGAGAGAGAGATATAGCGACAGACCAACAACAGGGGGAGAGAGAAACTGATAAACAAAGATATACCGAACAAGAGAAAGATAGAGCACACACAACAACACATAGACTGATGTAACAAGGGAGTGGGCGAGGGAGCGGGGAATACTATAATGAATCAGAGAGGGAGAGAGAGAGAGAGTGTGTCGCTGCGCGTGGGCTTCCCGCTGTTTGGAATTCGCGAGGCGTGGCATGGGCTTGCCTCTTTTGATTTCGCAAAGGATACAGCAGCACCCTTGTTTACAGTTGGAATACATCGATTTGCCTGTTGCCGCTGTGTTTGCGAGTTTTCCCCTGTTCGATCTCTCGCTTCCGCTTGTGGCCATCATTGCATTAATCTTGCCGTTGTCGTCGATAGCCCGAGCCAGGGCTAGTCGGCATTGCCCTCGGCGTCCCCAGCTGATCCCGCAAGGCGAACTCCAGACCATTTACCGCATTCGGTGTCCTCACATCCTTTGGAACATTCACGCTTTACACTTAGCGTTTGTATCCCCCCAGCCGATGCGGAGCTGCATGAGGAAGAGACGTCGTGAGAAGGAAATGTGAGGAACATTCATGAAACCCGGAGGGGGACACCAGTTCAGACAAAACATATGTCAGTTCAAGCAGTCCCACTGCGTGTTCGGAATATCCGCACATGCCGCCCGTAATTTTGCAGCGCTGTTATGTACATTTGGGCCACAGTGTGTATTCATGACACCGTGTAACCAGTGTGGCTTGAACAGGAAAACGTCGTGTTGAGACCGCATGGTGACCATAACGTCTGTTACTAAACCGTACAGGCATTTGTTGATTTTTTGCTCCGCGAGCCTTGTGAAGGCTTTGTGGAGCCGACCTAACCAAGTAACTTGTGAGGACGTCTCAAGCAAAAGGGCCCGACCCAGGACGAATCCAGGCAAATTCTGAGGACGTCTCAAGCGAAACCAGGCCCAAACCAAGCCAAACCACGCCAAATCTGAGGACGCGTCAGTCGAGACCGGGCCCAAGCCAGGGGCCGAACCAGGCACACTGGGATGTTTCGGGCGGGGCGCGCGGCCAAGCCGGGCCCAAACGGGCCAAACCAGGGGCCAAACCATGCAGATTGTGAGGACGTCCCAAGCAGAATCGCCCAAGCCAGGCTCCAGCCTTGCTCCTGATTGACATTCGCATTTAAGGAGTGGTTTACCTCAGGGCCCCCCCCCGCAGGCGGACGCCCTTTTCGAATTTTAGGGGAGGCGTTTGGACCGCGCTCCCGCTGATGCGGACGGGGTTGGGCGCAGAGGCCCTCATTTGTCTCTCGGGTTGGGGCCTTGGTGTGGCGTTCGGAGAAATTTCCCGAGCATGTAGCGTGTATCTGGTGGCCTTCGTCCCGTACCGCCACCGAGCCTTGGTTGTTGGTCAGAGGCCTCTTGGATGCTTGTGGGGATCTCCTGGGAGGCTTCGCGGGTGCCTCTTGGAGACGGTTTGGGGGCCTCACGGGCGCCTATCGGGGACCTCCGGGGGTTGGGGATTTGCTAGCTGTTTCGGAGGTCGTTTTGGGGGCAGGGAGCTCAAAATGTCGGTTCGTGTTCCCCTTCTGGGGCCTCTTTGGGGGCCCTTTTGGGCTGTCTTGGGGGTTTCCTTGACCGACTTGAGGCTCTCTTGGGCCGTTTGGGGCCCTCATGGGCCGCCTTGGGGATCTCTTTGGCCCTCTTGTGCCGCCTGTGGGGCCCTCTCTGGGGCCTCCCGGGCAGTCTTGGGACATTATTGGGGGCCTCTTGGGGCGTCGAAAGCCCGCAAAGGCGCGAACATTAAAGTCCTTGAACACTTTTCGCGCAATTCTTTGTTTTTACCCCTTGGGGCCCTCCTGGGGGGCCTCTCGGATCCTTCTTGGGGCTTCTTGGGCCATCCGGAGGCTATCTTGGGCGTCTTGGAGCGATCTTCAGGCGACCCTGGGA